GTATCTGATGTCAGGAGACATCTGGAAATTTAACAGACTCTTTGGATGATACTTAAGACTTCTGTAGGTAGCAAGAAAGAATAATTTTGACAAACATTCAGATTCACATATGAAATACATCTTCAGAGAAACACTAGGCATCATCATTTTGAACTTTTCAGTATATTAACACTCCTCAAAATTTTCTGAATTTGCATTCGTTTTTCATCTCTTTTTTGTTTGAAAAAGAAGGATGTATTCGCTTTATAATAGAGGCATTTTTACTTTATGGCTTTACTTTCTTTCTGTGCAGTGTTGAAGGAACGTTGTCCAGACACTTATTTAACTTCATTCTATATCATGGGACTTAGCCTTATTGTAGTGAGTCTCATGTTTCAGTAGACCATGAGTAAAAAAAGAAGGTTGCTGTTCACCTCACAGATTTGGTAATTTGCTGTTTTCTTGAGTATGTTCCTTCACTAATTTTTATCTTAGCATATTGATAAGGCAATGGCTTGCTTTATTTTTTTTAACAAAAAAAGGCAAGTAAGACATGTTAGATGGATTCTTTTGAGAGATTTCTTCTGCAGCTTGTAAGAGGTTTTGAAGAAAATTTTGCTTCATTACTACTTGTATATCATTCTCTTTTTTCACCAAAGGTAAAAGTGACTGAAGCAGAAGAAAAATACAAAGCAATACAAGACAGGTTAATAAAAGTAAGTGAAGAAGCACAAGCCTTGCATCCTCAGTGTGTTTCTTTGAAGGCTGATGTGCAGGCAAGAAGAAAAGCAGTCCATGAAGCTGAGGTAGGCAAAAAGAAAACAAAACTTTCAAAGTTCATACCAATTTAAAGCTTTAATCTTGTCCATTCTCTACCTGTATATACTTCTCCATCTGTATCTAGGCTTCCTGAAATCATAGTGCAGTTCAAAATAGGAACAATTCCTTCTCTGACTTGCAATCAGTTTCTGTTCAGGGGCCACAGGGTTTATATCTTTACACAGGTGTTAAGCAGTGTTACGTTTGGGTGAAAAAAAATCTGATTCAAGTTAACTATGTTATTCCTTCTTTTTCATACTCTTGAAAGTCAAGTTATGGTTGTCTATTTTGATACAGTTTAGTGGGTTTTTTTACTCAAAACTGTAGTTCTTTTTGAAATTATTTCTTGCTTCTATTTATTAAACTACTATATCCTATTTCCTTCACAGGTACTTTACAATCGTTTCAAAACTGAGTTAAAACGTCTAGGAAAAGATGATGAACAGCTACGTAAACGAATTGAAGAACTGAAAAGCAGGTAAATACAGATATAGTGATTAGGGTGTGTTAAGGTGTAGGTATGCAGGGAGTGAGCTTTCCTGATTAATGAGAAAATCTGCATTAACAGAAAATATTTATTTAAATGTTATTTATCAGAGTCCAGTTAAATATTTCTGATCCTACTTTGCATGCAAAGATTTGACTAGAAGATGATGAGGTAGTTGGGCAGGGAAAAAGGCTTTTATTTTTTTATGTTGATAATATACATTTTGTAGCTTCCATGGTGTTGTAAAACAAATATACCTTAAACTAAATGTAATAGGAACCTAACTGGGGAGAGTTGTATGTTATTATAAATTTAAAAAAAAAATAAATTTGTATTTATGCTTTGAAGATCTTGTAAATGCGCAGAATCTCAAATATAACTTTGATGCATAAGTCTCTTGTATGATACAGATAATAAAGTTAATGACACTTATAAATCATCAGTGTGTCTTCAAAATATTATGTATAATCTTTTCTAGTGCTAATCAGGTTTCAGAGCCTGAAAGAATGGAAAGACAAAGGAAAGTCGCACGCTTAAGGGAACAGTTAAAAGCATTCCATGATGAAGAAACCATGATTGATCAACAGGTGGATCAGTTTCAGCAGGCTATATATAAGTGTAAGGAAGAACATGCTAGACTTAAGTAAGTTACGCTTTTTGAATTTAACTTTTCCTTTGTTTCAAGTTAGAAGAGGTCTCCTAAATACCTGCATTTTCTCAGGTATTAGGCTTCAGTTTCTAGGTTGTTTTTTTTCCTAGTTTATCTTAGGACTTGCTAAAGTTTTGTCTTTGGTACAATATGACTTAATCTAGAAGCTTTTAGAAAATTAAGAAAACTATTTTGTTGTTAAAGGCCAAAGGTATTACTAATTTGAAGCCTGATGTAAATCCATATTGTCAGTTTAATGCCCTTCTTCCTCACACCATCTGTTCCTTATTCTCTTATCATCCTATGGGCAGAGTATGATTTAAATTTTTTCATGTTGTTTAATACACTAGTATATCCTGATACGATGTCAGAAGATGTATAACACAATGTAAGGAAATAGATACACTTAGGGGTAATTATTGTATCTATAATTACAGGCAGATTTATAGAGACTTTGAAGCAAGTGATTCAAATACGAATTTAGCCCATACCTGAACTAGAAAAACAAAGCACTTTTTGACTTTGATTTGTAAACCTGAACTTGAACAGTGATTACTGGAGGGGATTATGGCAATGTTGTCATTTATTGTCTTAAGACATTTGAGAATTGCACTTCATGTATTAGCTTAAACATCTTTTATCCATTACTGTAACCAACAGTTACTTTGTGTTCTGTTGAAGACCTTTGTAGAAAACAGTGAAATTGAAGCATATAATTAGAAATAAAATAAATTTATTACAAATTGTTAGAAATAAAGAAGTCTTGCAAAGCTGTTGAAAGTTAGAATTTTCTTTCTCACTTTTCTGTCTCATGTTCCTTGAAACTGTAAAAATATCGTTGCATGTGTTTAGCTAGCCATACGTTGAAGCATTGAGGTCCGGATACACTGTCCTATTAGTACTTGAAAAATGAGACTTCATATTTATTTTAATCAAATTAAGGCTCCATAAGCTGTTGCTACTGAAAAAAAAAAATGCTGTTCTCTTAGGAGAGAAGATTGTGATGCGAAACAAGCACTGGATGCCAAGCAGAAACAGCTGAGAGAGCTGAAAGATAGTAAAACAAATACCTTGAAAAGATTTGGACCACATATACCAGCATTTCTTGAAGCAGTTGAAACAGCCTATAGGGAACGTCGCTTTAGACACAAACCTATTGGACCTTTAGGTAAGAATGACTGCTAAACAAAGCAGTCTGAAATGTTTCCTCATGGGATTTATTGTATGGCTGCTAATATAAACAGTGATCTTTGAGGAAAAACTATTTGTTCTTTAAGAAGCTTTGTATATATCTATCTTCTGTACTTCCTGGACTAAAGATTTTATTCTGGTAGGTTATCTTTCTTTGGTCCTTTTTATCACATGAGCTAGTTAACATCTACTATTTTTCCTCATTTTCCAGCTGGTTTTGTTAAGATATTTTATGTAGTTACAATGGTAAACATTTAGTGCACCCCTCTGACTCCCCCAGACCCTCTAAGCATCAGACTGTTGTGTTTTGGCTGCTTGTTCCTTGGTGGGTAACACTGTCCAGCTCTTGGACAGACTTTGTTCAGAATGCCCAGCGACTGACTTGTGGGCTTGTCAAACTTGAGATTTTTTTCCATGGAGCAACTGAAACAGAACCAACTGAGATTTTTTTTGAAAATTTGGTTTCATGAGGTTTTTTACAAGCTCTGATAGTGAATGGTATTTTCAGGTTGTGAATGGGAGTCATGGCTTCAGCATATTCGGGATGTAAGTGTAAAGGCCTTTACCTGCAGGATAAGAACATGCAGACACATGTACTTCTGAAGATAGGCTATGTAATGGAAATTTTCATGTTTGTTTAACTTGCAGCATAGTTGTTCCTCTACCTTCACCCTTAAAGCATTAAATTGTTGATAAGCAATCCTTGCCTTGATATAGTCCTTCTGAGCTGCCATAAAATTGGTACCTTAATGGAACTTAGTAGTGACCTGTCAAAGATCTTGGAAGAAAATGTAGGCCTCCAAATAGGTATAGATATCTCTCCAGGAAGAGAAATTATATCACAGAATGGTAGGGGTTGGAAGGGACCTTAGGAGATCATCTAGTCCAACCCTTCTGCCAAAGCAGGTTCCCTACAGCAGTTTGCACAGGAAAGGATCCAGGTGGGTTTTGAACATCTCCAGAGATGGAGACTCCGTGACGTTTCCATGGAGTCTCCATCTGTGGAACTTATTCCAGTGCTCCGATACCCTTACAGTAAAGAAGTTTTTCCTTATGTCTGTGTTCTCAGGGTAGCTTGTCTGCTGTGAAGGTTTTTATCTGTTAGTTATTTTTTTCTTTCTTTTTGTAAGAAAGGTTTATTTTTGCTTAAAAAAGCCATAACACAACAAAACAAAAACTTTGTTAAAAATGCACTGAATGTTTTGTTGTGTAACACAGCTCCTAAAGCCTTATATCTTATGTTTATTTAGGTGCTTTCATTCATCTGAAAGATGCTGAACTGACCTTGGCTGTTGAATCTTGTTTAAAGAGCCTAGTTCATGCATTTTGCTGTGATAATCATAGTGATGAAAGGAATCTTCAGCTACTGATGTCAAAATACTATCCACGTGGACTAAGACCTCAAATAATTGTAAATAAATTTCAGAATACAGTTTATGATGTTAGACACAGGTACGTTATGTTTTGAATTTTATTGCTTAGCCTTGATGGCTCAAATTATAATTAGCTGAAAAGAGCTACTTGTATTTTTCTTTTTTTTTTTTTAAGAATCTTATATGAGCTTTATGAATGTTGGTTTTTCTTCTTTTCTTCAGAGCAGTTCATCATCCAGAATTCCCATCAGTTCTCACAGCATTGGAAATAGATCATGCAGTGGCTGCCAATTGTTTGATCGATGTGAGGGGTATAGAAAGAATCCTGTTGATTAAAGTAAGGCTTTACACTCCTTATTGGTCTTTAAAGAAAAACATTTTCTCTTTGTATGGAGCATGTATGATACCTTCACTGACAGTGTCTGCAATGGAAAAAAGAGGTAGAGAAAGAACGATATTTTCATTTTGGTTTTGGATTTTTTTGCCCCTCTGAGGAGAAGTGATGGCCCTGATGGCTCAGCTGACCCCGACTGTATCAGTTGTCGGTGTTATAGAGCAGTACACACACACACACACACATACATTTCTGCTGGAGGGCTCCTGGTAAGGCTCTCTTGGCATTCAGTAAACTGTCTGTATCCCACTTCAAACACTATTTCCTGTCATGGGTGAGACAGAGTAAACTGACAACCCATAGTGGATTTAGATACTAGGATTTATTTAAGAGTCAGCAAGGTTAGAGCTTTTACTCCAACTCTGGGGGGAGAGTGAGAGAGTGACTGTGTTTGGCTGCAAGCCAAAGGAGTGAAACCACTACATACTCTTGTTTCCACTGCCTTCAGAAGTCTCAGCTTCTGACCCCAGCAGGGAGATCGCTGCTGGTGCAGGAAGGTCAGGCAGGACTTAAGCATCTGGTAGCTAGGTACTGGTTGTAGCTATAGCAAGCTTGTGCTTGAGAGTTCAAAAGTTCCCTTTGGGATATTCAGCCACCCACCCTTCCCTGAAATCATCAGCTGCCTGTTAGAATTCACAGCCAAATTTATTTTTCACCTACCAGAACAATCAAAGCCCCTTTGGACTCTGCAGCATTAAAGCGTTTGAGATGAGAGAGTGCGAAGCAACATGATTGTGGATAGAGTCTGGAAAATTAAAAAAATAGCAATAATCAGTTATTAAGTAGGACTTAAATGAGGTGACTAGTAGCTGGCATTGAATTAAGATTATATACTATTTTGATAAGAATCTATTTTTTGATCCCAATAAAAACATGTTAATGTACTGTTCTCTGCCATTATATGATTTCTGATCTTGATTGATTTTTGATTTTCGGTTATTACTAAAGATACCAGCTCCAGCAGATATTACAAGTGAAATGTTCCAAGATAAAAATAAGATTAATATATTTATTTTTAAAGAAAGCAGGGTATTCTATGAGCAGCAGAACTAATGATACTTACTTTTTGTGGATTTTTTTTTTCTCCACACCCACTTACCCCAATTTATTCTCTGACATTCCTACTGGAAAAGAGGCAGTTTATGCTGTGTCTAGCGCAGAGCTGACTGAATGTTTAGCAAGCATGGTGTTACTGAATGGGATATGTAACAGATGAGCTTTCTAGGCTTTTCTCATGGCAGGGATGCT